GGGTCAGCGAACAAGAGGGAGACCCTCAAGGGGATGGGGTGACCCAGTGGCTGCAAATCATGGGCTCACACATGCGGACCGTTGGGAGGAGGGCGCAGGACTGGGCAGCGTTTTGGTCTGTTTACACGGGGGTCTCTGCCTGTCGAGCAGGGCCTCAGGGCACCCACCCACCACAACCAGTCTTTACGGCAGATCCTGCTAGGTCTTTCTTCCACGAATCAGCTGGGCAGTTCAAAGGGCTCGCCTGCCAGTTGACAGTGAAGAGCTAGGCAGCTCCGACGAAAAGCCTCTGAACGCCACAGTCTGAGAACCCACCGCACGGTTCTTGACGGAACCCTTTCCTGCATCGTCACCACGCACCGTTCACCTCATCTTACGATGAGGAACTGAGTCCGGAAGAGTCCGTGCCCTGCTGATGGCCACAGGGCTAGGAAGGGGTGGCGCTGAGGTCTGCCTGTCCACCTAGCACACTTGACATTCTAAGCTGGGCCAGGTCCAACGTGGCACCTGGAGTCTGAAGCGAACAGGGCGGAGAAGGGACGGTGAGAACAAGCGGCAAAATGCTGCCCAGCTGCACACGTCACCTCCTGTTTTCTGCCTAAAAACAAAAAAGGTTACCTCGAGGCAGATAGGTAAGCCACCTTCACCACCACGTCCCCTGTTGGTAAGATCCATTGATCTTGATCGAAGCCTGTGTGAACTTGGGCGGTTTCAGGAAACCTGAGTCTGCCTGGGAACCACGTCCAAGGGTCCATCTCCCATCCACAAAACCTCCAGGTTAAGAGCTGAGTGGCTCTCACCAGATCTTTGTAGGAACAGGACAGGTCACCCTGGAGCGGTGCCACTGACCGGGCAGGTTCTGGCTGGACTGCTGGGAGGTCTTATTTGTCTTTCCATTTCAGCACCGTATCCCATTATTCTTCTTCCGTTTTAAGGCTGACAGAAGCCCCTCAGGATTGTTTATATATGTGCCAGAGGCATACAAAAGAAAATACTTTCTCTTAGCAGCCTTGTTGTTGTTTTTCAGACTTGTTTCACTACTGTGGATTGAACGGTGTCCCCTGAACTCCTGCCCCCTCCCCACCCAAGAGTAACTGGAAATCCCAGCCCCCATCTGGTGGATGTGCTGGTCTTTAGAAAAAGGGCTTTCTTTGGTATACAAATGAGGCCTGCTCGATTAGGGTGGGTCCTAAACCTAATCACTTCTGAATTTAAATAAAAGAGCAGCCAGTACAAGGTAAGTCAAGATAGATGACCCCTCATGACAGGAGTAATGAATGGTTCTCTGAGGGTACAGGAAGTGAGGGAGTGGGGTGGGTGATGATTACATAACCCCACCCTATGGGAAATGAACAACAGACCTGTATGGGAAGGGAAGGGATATGTTTGAATGAGTAAGATGTGTCAATAAAAATATTAAATTAATAAACAAACACCCAAACAAAAGAGCAGAAGAGACATGCAGGCACCCACCCAGAGAGAAGACAGATGCCAAGGGGCACCAAGGATGGCTGGCAGAGGCATCAGAAGGGAGAGGCTCAAGAGCGGAATCTACGTGGCCAAGACCCTGATTTGGTCTTTCAGGCCCAGAACTGTGAGAAGAATACATTTCTGTCCTCTAAAGGCACCCTCGTGCGGTATTTCTGTTGCTACAGCACATGGTAACTAAGGCACCCATCATGTTGTTCTTATCAATAGGGGATGATACTAGATGCATTGCTCTACAGACCACTTATTTTGCCACAACGGCCTCCCCCTGTGGTGGTTATGAGGCTGGTGTGGATCTGCACAGCGTTTGTCTCCCCCTGTTCTTCCTGGAGTTGCTATGAATCCACTTCACTCATCCCCTTGCATGTCAGGATCTCTACAAACAGGGACCTCACCCTAAGGGTGGCAGAGTTTGGGGGTGTTCAGACTTCTATTTATAAATACAAAGATGGACGAGGGGGCACCAAAACATTCGTGGAAACGTGGGATGGAAAGAGACCGGGATTTTCCCATGGGCTTTTGGAAGCCCCCTCCATAGTCACATTGCAGTAGGCAACCTCTTGGGGGTGGGCGCTGGAGTTGATCCCAGTCTTTCACTGAGCGATGACATCCTGCCATAGAGACCCCTGGACTCTGGGGCAAACCTTCCTGCAGAAAAGCCTCACGCTGGGAGGCTGTTGGCTAAGGAAACGCACATTGAAAACCCGAACAGACAACACCACATGACGCAGCAGAATAGGACACTCAACCCACCCTCCTCCCAACACCAGGGGACACGGGGGCTTCATCTTTATTTCTACAAGTCTGTCTATGCCTGTGTTGTTTCTCAGAATGATGGAAAACACCCCAAATAATAGCCACTGCAATTTGTATCACTGTGCTTCTTATCTGATGGTAATGAAAAAAATGTAAAACCAACAGTTACTTTTGAGTCAAGCCCTCCGACTCCTGGCCGCTCTGGATGTCCCAGTACAGCTGGGCTCCACGGGGCTTTCGATGGCTGATTGTCCAGAAGCAGGCAGCAAGGCCTTTCGTCCACAGCGCCTCGGGGACTTCCAACCTCTGGGTTAGCAGCCTTAACCGTTTATACTGTCCAGAGACCCCGACAATGCCAATGTAAATACAAAGTCAGCTCACATTTACAGTAGGGAGTCCCTGACGCTGATGACCCCATCCCAGGTGAGTGCTGACCTAAGTCAAATGCCTGGTTTTCCGTTTTAGTTGTCATGGTGACCAGGTACCTGAACCGTAAATCCTGATGCTGGACATTGGGGAGTGAGTGTCTGACAGCATGGACAGCAGGAACCACATGCTGAGACAGTACGTGCAGTCTGGGTCAAGAAGCCCAAAAAACCCAAATGGTCCTTATCTTTCAACGACTTCACAAGGGGGTGGGGAGGACGCTATTAGTGGCCCATTTTGCAGATGGGGAAATGAGGGCACCGGGAGACAAATTTGCCTTAAACCATAACCAGGACGGCGAGCTGATCCCGACTCGGATTCAAGGCAGAGCTGGCAGGGAGACTCCAGCAGTCCAGCTCCAGCGTGCACGCCTTTAATTAACTGCTGGGCTCATGGCCTCTCTGGCGCCTTCCCTCCCTCAACAGACCGCTTGGTCCATGTGGTAGTTATATAATCATTTGTCAATTTGAGGATTAAGAATGTAAGGGTGGAGTCTAGCCTGTCAATCAGATCATAGCCAATGAGGCCTCTGTGTGGGCATGGCCTTATCCTGTGAATTCTGGGAAATCCGGTATTTCCTCCTTGGAGGCAAGAGAGACTCTCTCTCTCTCTCACTACTTCACGCCCTGGGAGATATAGCAGCTGACAAGACATATGGACCCACCCTGATGCAGCCCTGGGTGCTGGAGAAGCCATGCAGAGACCCCTGCCAGCGCTGAGAAGTTTCCAATGCCACTGAACCCTAAAACTTTCTACCCACTGGCCTGTGATCTTCTACATTCGGCGTCATTGCATGTGTTGCGGGAGTCTGAAGAGGACTTCATAGATTGGTATTGGACATATGGGCTAATATTGGACTTATGGACTTGATCTGGACTGGGCTGGGATGTTTTCTCCATGTTCAATTGCTCTTGTATATAAATCTCTTTCTTATACACATATGTGTATCCATGGTTTGTTTCTCTAGTCTACCCAGACTAACACAGCCCACAGCACCAAAGAGGCAAGGGCACGGTGGTGAGGTGTCACGGGATAGATGAGGGTCCACGTGCCAATGAGCACAGAGACTCAGGAAGGACCCCTCCTTGGGGACCCTGGCGAGGCTCAGCGATCCCGCAGTCGCTGCTGGGTCAGTTGGCTCTCTGGGCCCAGGCCTAGTGGAATCTCATAGGGTGACAGTGTCCTGGTGCTCCATGCAATGACAAGGGGTCCTTCCCAACTGCTGGTCTCTAAACAACCTCAGAAAAGACCCCCTGTGTCAGTGTCTTTGGGTTTGGGGACCAGCTGTGGACACAGGAGAGCATTCACGCCTGCTGTTCCCCCAAGTTTGGGGGGCCGTGGGTGTCAAAGGGTCTTTTTCCCACTCAGCCGTATTGGAAGAGTGGGAACTGGCCACTGGAGGTGGCAGTGGGAACTCAGAATGGTCTGTCCACAGCCATCCAGGCCACTAGCTGAGTTCAAGGGTGACACATGATGGTTCTTGGTGGGTGCCAAGCGCATGGCCCCCCACACTGAGGGGATCTGAGGCTGCCTCTGACCTGAACTTCACAAAAAGCTCAATGTTGCCAGACTTCCAAACACGTCCACAACCGAAGTGTGCAGCTGGCCCGTGGCTGGACAGCCGTGTCAGCATGCTCCCTGGCATGGGGCGGGGCTTCTGCAGATCCCTCTGGTTAGCCACAGGGGTATGGCCTGGGCCTCAGGACCTGGGTCCATCCTCCTGGGCCCCCCGTGTGAAACTCAGCAGGATGTCAGCCCATGGACCTACACTGCCCAGTGGAACAGTCCTCCTTGATAAAAATGCTCGGTGTCTCTCGTGGGACGATCCGGCAGCCACTGGCCACGAGTGGCTAATGAGCTCGTGTGGCCGGTGTGTCTGAGAGCTGACATTTCCCCTTTAACTTAAGTGAATATAAACACAAAGAAGCTCTTGTCTGGGGCGTGGTGCCCCAGGGTGGCACAAACACTGAGAGGCTGGTGGTTCCAGTCCGCCCAGAGGCACCTCGGAAGAAAGACCTGAGGATCATCCACTTCCAGAGCATTGACCCCTGCAGAGCACTGTTCTCCTCTGACAGGGGGTGGGAGGGGAGCAGCCTCAGTGTGAGCCCAGCTGATGGTAACTATTAGCTCCTTTTCTTTTTAACATCTGACGATTGCCCTGCACGTGGTTCAGCTCCATCTGGGTGCCTTTCCCTGCTCCTCTCTGATGTCCACCCTTCTAGCACGGACTCCCCACCCCACCCACCCCCTGCACGGCTCTGGCATGGGCCCTCCTGGCTCCCAAGTCCCTGCCCCTCCACCACGGTCCCAAGTGGCCATCCTGGTGGTACCTGGCAGGGTGAAGTTCTTCTGTTGCCTCACGCACTGCGGGGAGGGGTGCAGGGGAGAGGGCGGTGTGGCGCTGGGTGGGAGCGGGGGTGCCGGCGAGGAGGGCGTGGAGGAAGTGGTGGAGGACGGGTTGCTGCTGGAGTCCGGCTGGTAAGGGACTGGGATGTGGTCCTGCAGGAAGAAACCAAAATGGGGTCACAGGGGGGACCACAGGAGAGCAGAGACAGCAGTGGCCACAAGCTGAGCGGGCACCAGGTCCTTCCAAAGTCCCTCCTGTCCCAGCACCACCCCCAGAGGTTGCACACAGCTGTGGGAGGAACCGGGGTCCATTTCCCTGCCCGATGTTGGTACCACAGAGTGGAAGGGAGCCAGGTCAAGAAAACCAGGGAGGGAGCAGCCACGCGCCCTGAGCCTCTTTAATTCTGCAAAGTCGCCCCACCCGGGCGGGCGCTGTCCTCACACCTCCCCCTCTGGGGTGTTGATAAAAGGACCTGCAGCCCAGTGGTCCCTGAGTGAGCCTGAGCCCAGGCCTTCAGGACATGCCCTCGGCCCTGCCTTCCATCACAGGGTCTGAGCTTCGAGGAAGGCGATGTTAGGGTCCGCGTGATGGTCACCCCTCAGAAAGGCCAGCGTGTGGGTAGAGACAGAGCAGGGCCAGGCCAGGCCAGACCTGGTTCCCCCAGAGACAAGGGTCCATCCAGAGCTCAGCATGTGACCCCACAGATGTAATAGGGGCAGGACCTTTGGATTAGGGTGTGTCCTCAATCCAGGGATGAGTGTGTCCTTATCAATATGACAGAAAGGTCAACCTACCGAGAATCCCAGGGGAGAGGCCGGCAGAGGCCGGGGTTGGGGTGACGTGTCTAAGAAAACCAAGAAGCCAGCGTCACGTGGGACAGACCCTCCTCTAGAGCCCAGGGGGAACCAGCCCTGCTGACATCTGGCCTCTAGGTGGTGGAGTTGGGGTGGGGGGTGGGGGTGGGGGTGAGGGGGTCAGTTTCTGTGTCCCTAGGAAACAACCGCAATGATGAAGAGTTTTAAGTCTTTAGAAGTTTGACCGCATGTGTCTTAGTATAGATCTGTTAGGGATGTGTCGAGCCATCTCTTCGGCCACCAAAGTCGGAGTCATTGCGGTTTTGAAATTCTGTACTTGCGGGGGACAGAGGAGGCTATCCTGGGTGTCTGTGCTGAAGTGTCCTGTGTCGTCTCTTGCTGTTTTCCATTTGTTTCAAGAAATTTTCAGGATTGCTTGCTGAATCAATTCCCCACCCCCGACGTCTGCTTTAAGAACCACAGTGAACATCTGTCTAACATCCCCATCCGTCATGGGGGGTTAGTGCCTGTTGGCTGTCGTGTTCATTCAGTTTGAGGTGTGACAGGTGACTTTCAACACAAGTCCGGATAGGTGAGTCTTAGAGGATGTGACTCTGGAGCTTATGTAGACCCTTCTATTTTAGCGAACCAGTCTTCGAAGAAATAGAACCAAAACGCTCCTTAGAAGTGCGACTGGCTAGACTTCCAACATCTGGTCACTTATTTTGGCCATGTTGGCCAGAAAGACAAACGGCTACCCCAAGCCCCCCACCTTGGTTGGTGAAGTAGAGCATCAGCCAATAAAGAGGGGGTACGGGGTGGGACTCTCAAGGAGAGGGACTGACCCTTAGTTGCAAAAGTGGAGCCCTACGGACCCACACAGTTGGCCGTGGCATCCATCACACAAGGTCACCATGGGTTGGACCCGCCTTCATGGAACCAAGTCACAACCATTTCAGCTGGCTTCTGCGGCCACCTTGTTGCCACCGGGTAGTGGCAGACTTCCGGGAGCAGCTCCTCGGGACAGCCTGCGGGGCCGAGGCGGGAATCCAGGCTCTCCCAGAGACCTCCACTGAGTCTGATCTTGTTGGGAGGGGTAGGAGCGCCTGGGCACTGCTTCCCATGTGACTTTCACATAGGAAAGTTGGGGTGGGGAGTGTTGAGATTTGACTCCCCACTGGGTCTCCTCTGCCCCGATCGTAGAATCATGGGCCAGAGGCTTCATGTTGGCAGGGCTGGGGTGGATGTGTAGACTTGCCATTGACATTGGGTGGAGGGGCCTCGTTCCTTACCAATCAGTGCAAATGAAAGTCGTAGCCCCTGGCTCTCCCTTCTCTGGGCCACACTGGGGCAGAGGAGGGGTTGGGGGACCCTCTGGCAGCCTGGCAAGGCTGAAGGTCTGAGGTGGGTGTCAGCGCAGCCAAGGGTGGCTGGAGCAGAAGAGTGATTGTCTCGCTAGGCTGTCTCAGAAGCATGAACCAATCTGTCCTGGATGAAGTCCAGCCAGAATGCGCCTCAGAAGTGAAGGTGGCAAGACTTTGTCTCATGACGTCTGGACATCTCATCAGGAGAACCAGTCCCAGAGAAGTGCATCTTAGGATCGACACTATTCTACAAGTGTGTCATGCTTCCGAACAATGTTTCAAAATTTAAACAGTATTTAGGACTTATTAGAATTATTTGACAAATTGTTCCCACTCCAGACTACAAAGATGTGATAAGCAATGTTATACGCACACACACACAGGGTTAAACAATCAATAGTTTAGGTTTTGTGAGCCATACAGTCTCTGTCACAACTACCCAACTCAGCCACTAGCGTGCAAAAGCAGCTATGTGCAGCACACGAGTCTAACTGGAGTCCAGTAAAGCCTTATTTACAGATGCAACAAAAGAAGGAGGGCGGCGTGCTTAGTAAAGTCAGGGGTAGCGAGAAAACAAACAAACAACAACAACACTGGGAAGACGTTCAAGGAGATGGATCGACTCAGGGGCTGCAACCATGGGTGCAAACCTAACAGGAAGGTGAGGTTGACGCAGGACTGGGTGCACACGGGGCAGTGTTTCCTGCAGTTGTTCACAGGGTCCCCAGGACAGGGTACCCAGTCACGACTCGGTAGCACCCATCAACTCCCTAACAGGTTGTCCCATTCCTGAGCCGGTGGGGGCTTTTGGTAGTGGTGTTTTTGTTGTTGTTTTTTTGTCTTTGCCCATTGGCATTTCTGGGTTCCCAGCATCTTCAAGTCGGGGAGAGAGGCAGCAAAAAGGAAGTAAGAACTCGGCGTTGTGGGGTCCCCGCTCTCTAGTTAGTCCCCCTGCAGTTCTCCGCCTTTCTCTGTTTCCGTTAGCACTTGCCCACCTTCTGTGTGGGCTCTTCGGAACACTCGTGGGGTGGGGTGGTGCTTAGAGGGCGGGAAAGAGAAACGGAGGTCCACTCCATCGTCCAGCGAGACACCAAGCGGAAGTGCTGATGACCGTCTTCACACCGGTGAACTTCATGAAATCCTGGCAGCGAACCACCAGAGAAGCATCCCCTCCAGAGCAAGAAATGAGCTCGGCGCATCCGCGGGACTTGGCTGTCATCAGAGAGTGAGAGGGATGCCAGTGTGCACGGGGCTGCTCGCCACGGGTCAGCAGTGTGAACCACTAGCCGCTCCCAAGGAGGAAGATGAGGCTCTACGGTCTTCAAAACCCAAAGGGTCCGTTCTCCTCCGTCCTTCCGGTCACTCTAAGTCATAATGGACTGGATGGCAGTGAGTTTGTTTGCTTGGATTCCCCCTAATCCCTGCTCCCCCATTCCCTTGGATAATTCTTGTCTCCAGGCTACAGAATTCCCCCAGCAGTCATGGGTCCTTCCAAAATGATTTCTGACCCACTGTCGGGAAAACCAAGCCGAGTCTCGGCGGACGGCAGGGAGCCTCGGCTCCTTGGAAACAGACCCACAATCCCAGGCATGTTCATTCCAGCCGCCCACCAGGCAAGGGCACCGTGGAGGTAATTGTGACCTGATTTTAGTAGCCGGGTATCAGGAAGCCGTCTTCCTCTGTCCTAACATATCGAGTGGTAATTGTATCCCCATGGCAACGGGCTTGTGAGTGTGCAGAACGAACGTCGTGGCAGGGGGACTGGGCTGTGGCAGCCTACTGGGAGGTACTGGAAAGCGTACATCACGCAGGTACCCATCCTGGTGGCACAGGGATGAAGTGTTCACCTACTGCCGCTCCCTGGGCAAGCAGCCTGCCAGTCTGCTTCCATCAGGATTACAGACCGGGGGAACAGAGGGGTCAATTCCCCTCGACAGGGCACGGAACAGACTCTACTCCAGCCGGTGTCCCATCTGCCCCAGCACCTCCTCTCTGAGTTTCCACTCACACCCTGGAATGTTTCAGGGAGTTTCCACATCTGCTCTATAGAAAGGTGACCGTTTTCACAGTTTTTAAAAAACCCAACAAAGCTGTAAAAGTTGCTGCTGAAAAGTGTGTCCTTCTCAAAGAGTCGGGCACACATCCCATGCTCAGGTGACGGACGGACGGCACGTGTGTCAAGTGATAACTACCTGGGACCAAGAGGGGCACGTTGGCTTGGACCTGGGCTGACCTTACCTTCTTCTCCTACCTCCACTACATCCTGCAATGTCTGCCGGGATGGGTGCCGCCACGTCATTCCAACTCGCAGGGCCCCTGTGCCCAACAGAGGGACACCAGCCTCACCCCCTGGCTATGTTTGGGGCCATCAGTTAGCAGCCCAGGACGCCAGCTGCTCATGCCACTCAGAGATTCCAACCAATGTAAGCTGCTCTTGAAAGCTAGCGTGTCCAGGGACACGTGTGCTTTTATGTCGACGGCTTCATTTCGGCCCTGCCAGGGCCACGTTAAACACAGCCACATCGCCCGTGAAACACTGCTGATTAAGAAGTGGCGGTCCGCACCCTGAACCTGAGCAGGCTGGTGACGGCGCCCATCGTCGAGAACGGCAGGGGCGACCCGGCCACCATGAGATGGTAAGAGGCCACGTTCGCTGAAGACAGTCTCCCTTGGAGCCCTGATGACGACCCTGGAGCAGCCAGATTGGGAGGAAGCTCAAGCTAACTGAAAGTCTCCATGTGGACATGCCAACCGCCCCTGCTGAGCCCAGTCCCCGACTACTCCCACCCCAAAAATCAGACGCGGGCGTGAAGGGGCCCTGAGGTCAGGAGCAGACAAACTCTTTCTGTAAAGGACCAGAGAGTAGCGATTTAGGTTTTGTAGATGACTTAGGCTTTGGGGAAGAGCCTGCGCTCAATGCTAAGCCTAGAGGACCAGGGCGATCCTCGCCCCCATCCCGGCTGTGTGCCACAGAAACATCCCTATTCTAGATACTTCCGTCTTCCTGGTTGACCACCCTACACATTGTGGGGCAAATAAGCCATGCCTGATGCGCCTCGTGTGTTCCAATCTTCCCAATGCATAGACTCCGTGGGCATTAAAAAGTGGCTTTTGTGTTGCAGCGGTAGACATCTGGAACATTCCCACTGTACAAACCAGAAAACTGAGAGTGGGTTGCTCGCTCAGCGTCTCGCAGCTGGTAGCCGCCAAGACTGGCTGCCAGGCCCGCCTGACTCCAGGGACCACGTTCCCCACGGTGAGGATGGTATGGAGATGCACCTGAGGGTGCAGGGCTGAAAGCAGGAGCCAAAGCACAGGTGGCCTTTGGTGACGAGGCATGGAAGGCGGGGTCCTGGACCTCGGGAGGGACTAATTCAGAGAGGGAGGTTTTACTTCTGAGTCTGATAGAAAGTCATCGACAGCCCTTCCACAGAGAGTGATGTGGTTCAAATGACACTCGTTAAGGGTGACTCGGGCGGCTGTTGGGGAATGAACAGGGAAGGCCGAGCCTCTCCAGAGCCCCGTGAGGAGGGAGACTATGCTTGGCCAGTCAGAGGCCACAGTGCAGTGGCCCCCCACCTCCTTAGGCGGAGCTGCCATCATCAACTGCGGTGTCCCTGAGCCCCTGCTGCCCCGCTGGGCAAGAGTGCTGCTTTTCTATCCAGGCAGGGAGTCCTGCCCAAGCCCTTTCTCCCTACCCCGGGGAGGGGCGTGCTCTGGGGGGATAGCTCTGGGGCAGCCTGCTCTCCTGCAGCCCACAGTATGCACGTGGCCACTGTGCTGGCAATTTCCACACGGGGGAAGGCTGCGCAGTAGAGCCCACTGCTGACCACAGACCCGGGGACCGGCAGGAACTAGGCCAGGCAGGCTGTGGCTCAGGGCCCATAAGCCATGCAGTCCCCATTCTCTCAGTCTCCAACCAGAAGCTTGGAACTAGACACACACACACAACAGATGTGTCGGAAAGCCTGGAGCCATCTGCAAGGCTGATGCTACCAGATGGGGAGAAGACATCACAGGTAGCAGAGCGGGTGGGGACTGGGCCACCGGGAAGGCTTTGTCGCCTCGTCCTCTGCCCTGCTGTGCCCCGTCTGGGCACAGTCCTCCTCATCTCACCCTCCACGGCTCCAAGCCAGAGGCGTTGCTGGCATGTCCCCATCCACCAGGGACCGGATGTCCCCCAAGTTGACTCAACGCACACCATGGGCCTGGGAGAGGCCCCGGGAGGGCTGGGGCATGAGCGTCACCTTCCCCATCCACCCAGCCAGCCCTGCCCAAGCCCTTCCTCCCCTTGCCGGCGCTGCGCCCCCCCGTATTCCCAGGTTCCAAGGGAGCCCAGCCTCACCTTGTTGATTTTGTTGGTTTTGGGGAGCGTCTGGCTGATGTGCAAGTCTGAGTAGCGCGGCGGCTTCCGGAGCGGGTTGTTGATGTCACATGGGACGGACTCTGTCCGGATTAACCTTGTTGGATCCGTAGGGACGAAAACAGTGATGTGGGGATTTTAGTATGGCTTTGGCCTGGGGAAACCAGAGCTCAGACCCTGAATCGAAGACCCACCCCGGACAGACGGACACCGGATGGGCAGTCACTAAACCCGATGGACTCCGGGTTGTGGAGACGGGGCTCGGTGTGTGGCTCTGAGGAGTTAAAGCTCCGAAATAAAGCCTAAGTGGAGTCTGAATCAATGACGATTGATAAACATGATGGAAGAGATGCTAAAAGGACGGGGGTGGGTGGGAGGGGGCGTGTTGTTGGTTGGTGTTGTTTTGTCTTTTAAGATCCTAAGTGCTGTCACATAGGCACTCATTTCGGAGCAGAACACGAAATAGGAGAGGTTCCTGACTTCTCAGGCCCGTCATCAGTGGGGAACCCCAATTGCAGAGCAACCCGGGAGCACGCTCAGCTGCCGGCAGGAAAGCTGGGCAGTTCAAGTCCACCCAGGGACAAGTCAGCACAAAGGCCTGGTGATCGAGGGATGGACCTCCCAAGATCTCCCTTTGAAACGCTCTGACAAATGAGGTCGCCAGGAGTCGGAATCAACTTGTTAAGAGACTGAGACTCGATGGCAATCCGTGGGCAGGCTCGCGATGACCCCCGGTCCCTGCCCTTCTTGAGCCTTTGGGTCAGGGTGGTGTGTAGGAGGGAGTCCGCTGGCCTGAGCAGCCTGCTGCATGTGCAAACACATGTTGAGGTTGAACGAGGTGGCCCTGGGCTCCTGAAAGTGAGGCTCAAGTTGTCCAGCTCCTCCCCCTGCCCCCTCATCCTGAGAGCCACACAGAAGGTGGCCACACAGCTCTGCTCCTGGTGCTTCCTGGCCGGAGCCACAGCCCCCAGCCCTGTCTCCCTGCTGCCCTGCCCACCAATTGCCGAGGACGCACAGGGACCCAAGGGGAGGGGAAAGGGAGGCCTCCAAGCCAGCATCTGCTGGCTGGGCCTGCTCCTTGGTGACCGTGTCTGCCCCCATGGGGCCGGCCCCTACGCACGGCTGCAATCAGACCAGAGGGTATTTCCTGATTGATTTTCAGAACCAGATCACCAGGCCTTTCTTCAATGTCATCACTGGAGCCACTGAAACCCCCCTTCAGCATCACATGCAAGCACCCCCTTGGACCTCTCACCGGAGGAGAGCCGAACCGGGCCTCCCACAGGCAAGGCGTGAGCCTTTCTGCCTGAGCCCTACCTACTGGTGAACCGGCTTTTCCTGTGCGGGGAGGAGGGGAGGAGGAGGCGTTTGGTTGGGAAGTTGAAGCTGGAGCTTCAAGCTGACCCGGGGATTGTGTTTCTCAGTCATCACCAAGGAAACTGACTACTTCCTACTCAATATTGGTGGGGGGGGCGGGGGAGGTGGGGGGCGGGCGGACCTCTAGGAAGTTCGGCTTGCTTTGCTCCCAAGGGTGCCTGCTGCCTTGGACACAGGGAGCTGGCCCTGCGGAGGGCTGAGAGGGTACCCTCCTCAAATGCCAGCTCCCAGGGCAGGGTGCCTGACTCTCCTCCCTACGTGGGAGTCGTTCCAACAGGACCCACTGCCGAGAGGAAGTGCTTGGGGGTGCGGGTGGAGAGTGTCCCCAGTGAGCACACAGGGTTCCTCAAGGAAGGGGCGGCTCTTAATTAAGGATGAAGGGTGAGCAGGGCCAAGAGAAGAGAGCCTGAGGTGTTCCCTGGACTTGAGATGGGTCTCTTCTCGCCCGAGGGAAACAAGCTGCCGCCCTCAGGGCAAACCATCTGCCCCCCTGGCTTTGGGACCCTCCAGGGCTCTTTGGGGAATGATCTGCCTCCGGCTCCTTCTGAAACAAGCCCAGGAGCGGGATGGGGCTCTGGACGAGGACAGAAGACTGCTGCAGATGGGGATGTGTTCTGGGACCCCAAAGCTGTCCCTGGTGGCTCTTAGACAACATGGAGCCCACAGACGGGGTGGGGTCTGGAGGTAGCCGGTGAGGGTTTGGAGCGTTTTATTCGGTCGCCGGCAGTGACACACCCGGAGATGTCCTGCGAAGCCCTCCAGTGAGCTTTCCTTTTACAAATCCAAAGCCGGGAAGCCGGGGGGCCACCCTGTCCTCTCTGGGTGGTGCTGGGCTGTCCACCTGCCCCTCCTCGGTTGCTGTCCTCTAAGGTCCTTGCTTGGCCCCGGCCGACATCAGCCTCAGAAGAAAGGCCTGGTGACCTGCTTCAGAAGGATCAGAGCCAGGAGAGCTCTGCGTGGCCCAGCCTAGTCTGAGGTACAGGGCTCCCCAGGAGTCCCCACACAGGCTCCATGGCTGTTGGACTGGGCTGGGGTGGGCTGGAGGAAGAGAGCATGCATTTCTAACAAGCTCTCAGAAGCTTCCGCTGCTGGTAGTCCACGCAGCACACTCTGAATGGCCAGGGTCTAGCCCAGCCTTGTCTAGTAGAACTCTGTGCCAGCGTTCTCTCTCTGTGCTTCCCAAGAGGGGAGCCACTAGCCACATGTGGCAACTGAGCCCTGCGGTTATCTGAACGTTTCCTTACTTCTAATTCACTTAACGACTCCTTGGCGTGTCATCCAGTAGCTCTGGTGGTGTCGTGGGTTACACATTGGGCAAATGACAGCAAGGTCGGTAGTTCGAACCCACCGGCCGCTCCGAAGGAGAAGGAGAAAGAGGAGGCTTTCTACTCCCATGAAGATTTAGTCTCAGAAACCTAGGGGCCGTTCTAGCCTGTCCTATAGGGCTGCTATGAGTCCGAATGGACTCAGTGACAGCTGGAGTAGCTACTAGATAGAGTGGTTCAGGCCCGGGGGCACAGCCCAGTATGTAATAGCGACTGGAGGTAACTAACCCATAGAGCAAGACTCAAGACGGCTGGGCCACAAGGCTTCCCAAGGAGCTACCTCCTCCCAAAGGCCTCCTGGAGTTTTCTTGCTAACTGAAAGGGCCTCGTGTTGGCATGTGTTTCCAGGGGTGGCTGCCCCTCTGCCTGGACCAGTTCCCACAGACACTCCCACTGTCCCCCAAGGAGCTGGGACCCAGTCGGGCCCTCTGCAGGGACACCTGACACCTGACGGGGTCTGAAGAGCTTTGCAGAAGGCGCTCCTTCTGAGCAAGAGGGGAAAGTCATGGGACTAGGGAAGAGAGGAGAGTGGGGTGAGCAGGAGGGGAGATGGGAATGGCAGGACAGGAATCCTGGTTGGGAGAAGAGCCCGTGGGCTAAGGTGTCAGGGCCCAGTGCAGGGGGGCAGAAACAGAGGGAAGGGGCCTACGGGGGTGGGGGTGGGAATGAAAAGGACAGATGCCAAGAACAAGGGTGTTGCGGGAGAAGTGAAGACAGGTAAGTATCAGGGCATCCATCAGGAGGCATCCAGTATGGGCCCAAGGGGGCCCTGGACCATGGATGGGCTGCATGAGTGCCCCCCACCCCCCCGCCCCCGTCCGCTCCCCTCCAGAGCGGTAAGTGTTATATACTTACCTCCTCTGTGGATGATTAGGAGGTGACAGGGCGGGGCTTCTTTGGTGCATTTGCTGTGGCACTTTAACCTGCAAGAGAGAGAGAATGGAGGGTAGACAGATGGGTGGATAGACGAATGGAAGGACAAGTGGGCGGGTGGGAAGTCCCAGTGGTTATGTTCTCAGACCAGGTGCTCGTGTGACCACTGGTGCTACGTAAGCAAGGACGATCACCTCTTCTCAGGAACTGGAAGATGATGACATCATTGCATAACTGTCAAACCACTGAGAATCCTGGCCCCAGCTAAGTTGGCATGGGGCCTTCACCATCACGGCCAACTCTCCCCTTGGTAGCCATTACTCTTACCTCCTTACCCCTCACCTTGGTGGTCATTATTGCCTGGCCATACATCATTAATCCACAAACTAGTTGGATAGATTTTTTATAAATGTGAAATGTCAGATAGGAAGATAGTCCACAAGTGAGAGGCAGGTGTACCAAGGTGTGACAGTGTTACAATAATCTCTCTAAGGTGCTGCAGTGTTACAATCATCTTATGAAGCAGGTGCTGTTATACCTGTTTTCCATATGGGGAAACTGGAGTTAGTTGGCTTGCATTAGCCCTGGCTGGAAAACCCGCATCACTGTTGCCAAGGGGGACCTCTCACTTTTCTCAAACGCTTAAGCTCAACCATTAAACTAAAATAGTCTTCCAACGAGCACGAGTCTTCCAATGACTAGCAGGCACTAGGTTTTACAGGTATCGCTCGGCCGCCACCATTGCGGGATGCCCTCGCCATCGCCACACTCCCCAACCTAGCTTCCAATAGCTAAGGCGCAGATACTGTGCACAGAAGTGGGGACTTCAGATTTGCCCTCCAACATCTTCTCTAAGGGGCCCCGGAGCAAGCACTCAGCGGTAAACGGAAAAGGCGACAGTTCGAAATCCACTAGGAGAAAAATGCGGCCACCTGTGCCTACAGAGATGCCAGCCCAGAAACCTGGTGGGCAGTTCTCCTCTCAGTTCTATTCAGCCACGAGGGGCCGCTCCTGACTCCATGGTCCCACATAGCTCCGCCCTCTCTGGAGCCCGATAGACCCTCTGTAACAGCGTGGACTGAGTGCCCAGGGAAGCCTTGCTGTCATTCCCCCTCAATAGTGTGCGTGGGCCCCATTGAGTGCGTTGAAAGGCGTCCAGGTGAGAGCCCAGGTGTCCCTTCGGAAGCAGCCTGGGCTGCCCTGAGTTCAGGTCTCCAAGAAGAGCCATGGGTGGGGTGGGGTTGACCAATATCCCAGGCTCCTCTCCCATGGATGGGTGGGGAGGGGCAACTCAGGGGTGTCCGCGGCTGTCTCCCAGTGCCCCCCATTTCACTGGACCTGCTTTCCCTCCAACACACCCACACCAACCATCCTCTCTTCCCTGGCTCATGCCTGCTGGGGTGGCCCCAGAGCCACTTCTCCTCGGGGTCCAAGGAGCCCTGGTGGCAGTGACTTGCTCCCACAAGGTCAGCGGCTCAAAACCACCAGTCCCTCCTCCACAGAAAGATGAAAGTGTTTGTTCCCACAGAGAGCGACAGTCTCGGGAACCCACAGGGGCAGTTCTGCCCTGTCCGACGGGGTAAAATGGAATCAATTTGATGGCATTGACTGTGTGGTTGTTTGCCTCAGGATCCGTTTCAGCCAGATTGTCCAAAGCGGTTCCAAACATCCGGGTTGCCTGTCCCAGAGTGCTCACCCTAAAGCCAAGCCCTGTACATTCCGACGTTGAGGATGACCCTTTAACTGACCAAATCCACCTGCTTATATGGGGACACACCGAGACAAGAAAGCAACACTCAAGCGCATCCTTGTACACAACACTCACAGCAGCCCTGCGTCGGTCTAGCTGCACTAAACCCACTGCCACTGAGGGGTTGTGACTCTTAACAATCCTACAGGTCAGAGAGGAACTGCCACTGTGGGTTTTTGAGGCTATTGGGGTGGGGAGGGGGGTGCTGCAGAAAGCCTCATCTTTCTCCTACAGGGTGACTGGTAGATTAGAACTGCTGACCTTGCATTAGCAGTCCAGTGTGTAACATGGCACAGGCACGGTGGGAGCTGCTTACTCGGCCATTCAAAGGGAGGATGTCCTGACCCGTGCTGTAACGTGCATGAGTCTAGAAAACATGACGCAGGGAAAGAAGCCAGCCATTGAAATGCCATGCATGATATGGCTCCATTTACATGAAGTGTCCAGGAGATGCAAATCCAAAGAGAAGGAAGTGGGTTGGTAGCAGGCAGAGGCTGGGGGCAGCTGGAAGCAGCCGGAAGGAGCGGTTTCCCAACACGAGTGTATTAAACACTGCGGATGCAGTATTTCGCAAAGGTGACTATTTTATATGAGGGGAATTGTGTCTCAAATTCAAATCAAACAAAACCAGAAGAGCAAGCTCCCTGCTTTCATTGCCTTGTGTGTTTCCTTGGCCTCTTTAGAAGTCTGCCCTCTTGAGCTTGGGTTTCTTCCTATGTAAAATTAAATGAGGATCAAACAAGATCACCGCCTATGTCGGGCTGGCCCTGCAGAGAGCAGTGTTCCAGCAGGGACAGCTGAAAGACGCTCCATGGATACCCTGTACAGATCTGGCTGCCCTCATTCAGCCTGGGAACTTGGAAAGGATTCATTTAGACTTTCATGCAAAATTGTTAATTAAAAAACAAAACAAAAACCTTCCAAGGCTTCACAGGCTAAGCTTCAAGAAAAGCTGTATCCGTGGAACATGTCAATCCCCGGAGGAGCTGCTGGCTAATTGAGACATTTCTCTGTCTGCAAATTACTTCTGAGAGTTTATTCTTCAGGGCAGAATCTGGGTCTTACTCTTGCTGTGTGGTCCATTCTCCCTGTGGCATGTGGCTCCTGGCCTGGTGTCTTGATCCATTGGCGAGATGGAAGAAGGGAGGGGAGGCGGGGCAGAAGGGAAGGTCTGTCGGTTGCCACTGGTTTCACATCCCGAATAGTCTTTGTGAAACCATTTCATGAAAACACATTTCTATTTCTTAAACAGCATTTCCATCTCAGTTGGGTCAAGGGGTCCTTGGCTGGGGCGTACGGTGAAGTGCTCGGTTACTAGTCAAAAGGCTGGTGGTTCCCGTCCATTCAGAGGCGCCTTGGAAGAAAGGCCTGGCACCCTGCCTCCCAGAGGCCAAAGCCCCCGGAAGCCCCACGGAGCCCCATTCTACTCTGACTCGCGTGGGGTCACCACGGGCGTCAGAGTGGACCCTGTGGCAACAGGTCTGGTCCCTTTGGTGACCCCCCACCCCCCACCCCCGTCTCTGCATTTCGACTTCCCTCTGGCCCTCTATCTCCTTCACTTTGTGAGTCTCCTTCTCCCAACGTCCTGGAGCAGGGTGCCGGCAGGGGCGGGGAGTTGACCAGAAGAAGCAGACTCGTTCTCCAAAGAGGACGTGGCTCTGTAGTTGCGGGTGGCAACTGGCTCCTTTGATGAACAGCTCTGTTTTCTTAACAGATGTGTCCTGGTGGCATCATCCCCAGCAGACACAAACCTAGAGTCTGGTGTGGAGCTGGGCTCAGAATGCTAGCCTTCCGGAGGGTGGACAAGCCAGGCTCCTGCTGGAGAGGACCGTTCCCCTGATGCACTGGGTCATTTTAGCCAGCTGATAGAAAGTTGACTGCAGTCCGAAGTTCTCTTGCTCCATACCAGCTCACGTCATGACCTACCTCTACTTACAGAAGGCAAGGGGAGCCTTTTAAAAGCCTGGGGCCTCTGATGCCAAGGTCAACTTGCATAACACAGTCCACAAAAAACGATGTTCTACACCTGGGACTGAAAAGCTCATGAGCCACCATGTAAGGTGCAACTACTGGTTTCTCTCTGTGTGTCCAGAGGACAGAGAAGCGGAAGAAATCTAAAGATGCACGAAAATAATGGACGGAGGGCCACGCAAACATCAGTTTCGAAAACCCTGAGACCAGAAGAACTAGATGGTGCCCAGCTAACACTACCTTCCGCCCTGGGAAGGATCCCATCCGAAGGTCCTGGAAAGAGTGGGATTAAAATGTGGACAAAGCCCCACGTCATAAAAGAGACCAGGCTGACCAATCTGACACAGACCAGTGGACGCTCCTTCGTCACCCTTCAGGTCTGCAACTAAACTTATTCCTGTGTTAGAATAATCTATCCTTGAGGATCAAAAGGGCAGCATTGACCCAAGGGCAATGGGCAGAGGGTTAGGAGAGGGGAAGGGGTGGAAACAGGAAGCCCGGGGAGGAAGTAGAACGAGTAATGGTGCATTGAGGGGGTCGCCGTGGATGAGTTGAATCAGAATGTGTATGAACTTTATGCAGACGTAGAACTATGTTCTGCTCCATAAACTCTCACCTAACTCAGAATAAAAATTAAAACAAGTTACAGAACCTGGGCCCCCAGCACTGCAGGGAGGGAGGGAGAGCAGGGAGCACGGAGTTTCTGTTCGTGGCAGCGACCGGTCAGGAAGTGAGTGTGGTCGTTGGCTGTGCACGATGCAGGTAACCCACGTCACTCGATGGCGTATGTAGAAAAGGTTGACTTGGGAAATGTGTTGTGGCAGAGATTTAGGCCGCCATGAAACTGACACACCTCCCAAACAAACAAACAAACACCAGCCCCTAACACGCTGTTGCGGAACCAGGAACCAGGCACCTGCTTTGAGCCAGGTGCTGTGACGTCATCACTCCGTCTGAAGAGCCATTCTGTGAGGGGGGGGAGATCACCAAGTACATGTCAAAGCCCAAAAAGGGGAGGCTCAGTACACGGGGTGGGGGTCCATCTGTGCTTGCAACCAGAACAAGCAGTATTGCATCTTTGATCAGAGCTCACACAGAGGTGATTGTCTTCCTTTCAATGTTTTTTTTAAAAAAAACTTTGCATTGAGAATTAGATGAAGGTGTACACCACGAATAACTCGCTGCTTGTCCAACTGCCTCAACCCTATTAGGAATTACCCCTTCTGGACGGATGTGATGAATTCGGCAGTCTATGTCTCAGACCCACCAGTCACTCCCGTGGGAGAAAGATGAGGTTTTTTGGTGCCCGTCAAGATTTAGTCTTAAGAA